CTACTGAGACGCAGAGACTCGTTTCTTCATTTCATCTATGAAATAAACTAAGATCTATGTTCTACCGAACATTTAAGTTCCTTTGTGCTTACAGTAATGGTAATAAACTTGTGCTCAAAGCGATGAGCCGGTTGCGCAACACAGCAGTTTGCGCGCACACACACACCGACACACAATCGCTCGTTCTTTGCATGATAAACATATTTTATTCCTATTTTTACTTAGGATTTTTTTCACACTCACTTTATATTAAATTCATTATTTTTATGACATTAGAAATCATTTCTGATTGAGCAGGGATCAAACAAACATGTCCTCCACACATGCAGGAAGTAATTAGCATCTGTTTAACATATGTTAATGAAGKCGTGTCAGGGGAGGTGTCTTACCTGCGCTCAGTTCCACGTTAATTGTGATGTACAAAGAAATGTGTGTGGATTCCAGCGTACGCACAGTTTGATACATCTGGATTTTTTTGTGCGTACACCGTTTTCTGGATTTGACCGTACATCAGGTTTCAGTAAGAAATCCACACAAGTCTTTGCACATGAGGCCCCTGGTGTTTGTTTGTGTCTCTTTCCTGTCCTCAAACCCAGCCGGTTGAGGCAGATGGCCGCCTGTCCTGAGCCTGGTTCTGGTTCTGCTGGAGGTTTCTTCCTGTTAACAGGGAGTTTTTCCTCTTCACTGTCACCAATGTGCTGCTCAGGATGGGAGACTGTGATGAAGTAAAGATTTGGCGCAGTCTGCTGGCTTCTTTAGATTTATTATTTCTTTCTCTTTTTCTCTCTCTTTTTTTTGTGCGTGTACAGTGTCCTGAGACAACAGTTGTTCTGCCTAGGTGCTATATGAATAAATTGAATTGAATTGAATTGAATTGAATCGAATTGAATTGAATAGAATAGTGGTATGACAATGGCTCAGGGTGTTCACAAGTCTAAAAAGGTTGGGGAACCAATGATTTAGACCACTAGACCAGTGGTTCCCAAAGTTGGGGTCAGCCGGTCAGGACCCATAGTGGGGTCCTGAAAATTTTTTCTGAAATAATTACACTAAAAAAAGACAATTAAGCATATTTTTTTGCCTTTGTTGTTGCAAAATAATAAAATTAGTGTACTTAAAATAGACAAAAAAATAGCGTAATAAATAATGTTACTATGCTCTTGTTAATTTGACGTGAAAACAATGTTTATCAACTGGTAACAGCTGGGGGCACGGGTCTCAGCTGCTGGTACTTTGTGGGTCAAAAGCTGAAAAGTTTGGGAACCACAATCTTAAATGTAGCTCTTGGATCCAGTTATTACATCTGCTGTAATGGTCCTTGATAGTTTTTATTGGATTCTTGTCCTTTTTTGTTRCAAATACAGAAACGTTACCACTATAATATTTCCTTCATATATAAAGAAACATGCTGGGAAAAGCCACAGCTTATATACTCCAGATCAAATGTACTGTTGCATTGTAAGGTTATAAGAGTTTCTAAATATGGAAAGAAGAAATGGGAGTGAGACAAAAAAACTCAATTCAGCATTTTAATGCAAACAAGTACACTGACATAGGCTGTTCATCAACTGATCAAAAGTTTGAGACCATGTCTCAAAAAATCCCCTAAAATAGAAATAAATTTTGCATAAAAAAGGACTCAGTAATGAGTAGCTGAGCTATTCTTCAACCTCAAAACTTCATTTCAGCATCATGACACTAGCCAGGAGGCTAGAGGTGACTAACTAGAGGTAACCCATTCTTTACCACACAGACGGTGGTCTTCAGTCCTGAGGGAGACCCCCTGCAACATTTCCACACAGCTGCTGTTTGACACTTCTGCGCACCTGAAGCTCCATTGTTCCAGTGAAGATCATGATGGAGCCCTCCACTGTGCTGTGTAGAAAACATCTCAGGTGGGATCTCCTTGTCAGGCCAGTAATGTTAGATCAGGACCATCAAGTTTACATGTTTTTCTCATCAGAGAATAAAACTTTCTTCCATGAGGTCTTTGAAGATGTTTTCTGTTCTTGAAGCCCTTCTCACTGATGCKATCTTACTTTAGGTTGAGGATGTTCCTTTGTCTTCTTGGACAGCCAACTGGATCCTCCAGCTCAGAGCTGGTGAAATGATTTTGGGTCAACCACTTGATTTTTTTTTTTTGTTCCATAACCCTCGGGATCTTTTAAAAAGGTTAAAAGAACTGTCTTACTGCGTCCAACCTCAGCAGCAACGGAACGCTGCGAGAGGCCTTGTGCAGCTCAATAATCCAACCGTGTTCAAAGAGAGAAAACATTATTGTCTTTTCCATCAGGTCAGGACACTGTGGATACCTGACAGAAAARAACACTGAATCCACATTTCTGTGAAGATTTGGTAAAACATAAACAAGAACAGACAAAAGATACAATAAAAGACAAAACAAATTTCATACATGTAAGTAAATTGGCAGTGAGATTTAGAAAACTGCACTGATTTGTTTTTGGTAAGTGATGAATGTGCTGTTGTTGGGGTGATGAGATGATCTTAATGAAATCAACAGAATTTTTTTCTTCACCTAATAATACTGAGTTCATTTTTTGGCTTTATTTCATGGAAATTTCACATGAATAATCACTGTCAACATGTCATTATTTTTTTGTGTAGCACTGCACTCCTGTTTCCTGTTTGTAGGCCAACAGTTGATGTGTTGTGTGCGTAGCATGATGTGCACCACGCGTGCAATCTTCTTGCAGCCGAGTCAGTCATCGAGTCAACGCTTCAAGAAGTCAACGCTTCAAGAAGTCAACGCTTCAAGAAATGAATCATTTTTCAACACATTTGCTTTAAGGCTTCAACAAAACCTCATCTTGCCTTCACTAAACATTCCCAGGTCTTGTGGATATGAGTATTAGCAGTACTTAATAAATTTAATCCACTTTMTTTCATTGATTCTGACCCAACAACGTGTACGCTGTTCATTTTTGCTATTGAATTTGTATTTATTAAAATTGTTTATTGGTAACACATTCAGCAGTAGCAGATCATTTCTGGTCTGGAAATTGGTTCTGGAAGGTCCTTGAATTTGATGTTAACCAAGATGTGGCAACCCTGTATCAAAAATAGAAGAAATAATAGYCTGAAATACTTCACTCTSCATGTAATATGTATTATATAATGAATTTCACTTTCAGAGCCGACTGGCAAAAAAAAAGTTTGAATTTTTTTTAACAATACTTTTTGGAGCAGCGGTTGTGCATAGGAATTCTCAAAAAGTTCATTTTACTGCAGGGTTCAGGCCATGTTGGGGTTGTTGTAAAGAACGTGTACCAGAGCTGCAGCTCACCTGGGACAAACAAGGTGAAACTTTAGAGAACAGAATAAAATCTCATACTGTCAGAGCCAGTCAGCAGCTAGCAGGACTTTGTTCCACCAGTCACAGCTCGTCAGCCGCATGAGCCAGAACCGTGGTGGAGGTGCACACACTTAGGTTTTACAAGCTGGTGTTGCCTTCAAGAGGAATTGTTGAAAATGGCATCACTTCCTTCACCCATGGTCAGTGCAATGAGAGCTGTGCCTCTATAAGCCCACTGCCCTCCATGTTCTCCCTGCTAACGAATCACTCGTGCAGAGATCACTTTCGTCTTACTGCCTAATTTCTCCTGTCTGCTTTTGGTTCATTTCAATTGTTAATGTTAAGGTGAAGTTATCTTTTCAAAGGTTGTTGAAAATGTTATAGATGTGGGATAAAAAGATCATACCTTACTGTGAATTGTTTAAGGCTTCAAAGAAGTCTAYGAACTAAAGGTAGGAGACCAGGAGACTGCTTCTGTCTGAGGAGCWGCAGGTAAACATAGTTTAAACATGAAACAAAGACAAGAAGCCTGTACCTACAGTGAAACAGGAGGCTTAGTTCTGCTCTGCTCTAACACAGGTGATCTCCAATCTGTGCAGGGTACAATATAATCTCAAGACTATCAAGGCTTCCTGGATGTCAGAAAGCTTGGTCTCTGTCAYAGATTATGGGTCCAACAGGGTAACGACCCAAAACACAGCTAAAACTAAAAATTGGACTGTTCTGACTTGGGGTGGCTGTGGTGGACTGGTTAAGGGAGTAGGTTGCTGGTTAGACACCCCCCCTCCCCCTCCCCTTTCAGCTGTCTCAGTCCCACTTGCCTACTGATGGTAGTCAGAGGGTCCGATGGCACCAATGCATGGCAGCCCCACCTCTGTCAGTGTTTCCCAGAGCAGCTGTGGCTACAATGTAGCTTATCATCATCAGTGTGTGAATATGTAATGTGTGGTGCCTTTGGGGTCCATGTGGACTTCATAAGATGCTATGTAAGTTCAAGACATTTGTCCTTCTGAGCCCTGATCGAAGTCTTGTTGAACATGTGGAGGGGGCTGAAACATCTGGAGCTCTTTGTTCATGAGGAGTGGACCAGAATGCCTGTGGACAGGTGCAGAGGTCACAGAAATGGCTTGATTGTCTGAGAACATCAAAGAGTGGAGATAAGATGGGTGGCAGGTGTGCCAGTGCCAATCCCAAATGACAAATGACTGAGGATCACATGTAGCGTTAAGATGGAACTACAGCCACCTTTGGCTGTAGTATCTGGTGTGTAAGGAATCAGAATAATGTAGTGGTCACCCTGGGTGGTACAATAAGAACTAAAGTCTGGTTACATCTGGTGGTCAAACCTGTAAACATGGAGCAAGAAACAGTGATGCAGCATGTGAATGACACATGAAGCTGCTTACACAGGGTTTTAAAACATGGGACTCATACAAACACCCCCACCCCCCACCTCCATGCTGTGGTGCAAATTACCTGCCTGCATGTTCTAAACTGAAACAATGAAATATTTATATCTATAATCACTGAAGTTGATCATTCAGCTTTATTCTTTTTATAAAATGAAGTCATTTCACTTCAGCCACATCTGAAACTAAAATGTCAGTGTCTCCTGACAGGTTGGCTACAGGCCCAACCCCTCCTGTTTATTTTATTAAACTAAAAGAGAAAAGAACTATTCAATGAGAAGCAAGTTTACACAGTTAAAAATGAAAAACCTTTATTTGTTTTAAAGACCATTGAAATAAATACTTTACAGAAACCAATGTAGAAAACTTGATGCACTGTCTCAAAAGGTCAACATCCTGTGTTAGAGGCTGGGGGAGAGGAGGGGGAGACCTTCAGTCTAAGAAATGCTTTTTTATATCGATATGCTAAAAATGACAATTTCATTTTGTAGTTTGGTCTTTTTTTAATCACTTGCCACCACCCTTTTCAAAAAGTAAGAAAACAAAAACAAACAAACAAAAAGGCATGAGGCTGAAAATCCCACCAGGCAGTCTGGAGCTGAGGGGAACCTTTCAGACCTCAACACGGTAAACCACATCTTCTGAATATACAAGTCCGTGGTAAATAAGCTTCACATGCTCCCAGAACAGCTTTCTTCAAACATGATCATGAATGAGAAAGTTTACTGAAGTCCATAAATACTCATCTGGTCAAATCCAACACCTCCCAGCTGTACAAAGCCTGGTATTAAACTACAGTTGAGCTGTGATGCTGCCAGCATGTCACCGGCCACAGCTGAGGAAAGTGTTTACCACCAGGGAGCCTAACTATTCTAGACCTCGGACATGGATTCAATAAGGACATTAGCCCCACTTTAGTATTTCATCTACTGGAGTACACTTTAATTTCTAAATTATCATTGGGTATTCAGAGCTGGACATGTTTCCTGTCAGAGCTCTAAACATGTAAAATGCTTCTGCCACGACACATTTCACATGGGTTTTCTTCTCCACATGCACAAAACTCAACAGGACTGCTGCCTTGGTGACAGATGTTGGGAGGTCCTGTGCATGCTGCAGTTTGCCAACACTCAGTCCAGGAAGATACTTATTTATCAACCGAGCCAAATAAACTCAATGAGTCCTTTAATCAAGGAGGAACTGTTCAATTTAGTCTTAAAGGCTGTTCTGGTTGACACAAGGTTGATTTGACAGATGAAGCTGTTCAGTAAGCAGTCATTCCAAGATAAGCAACAACAATTTCAAGAGTGTGTGTGTGTGTGTATGTGTGTGAGAGAGAAGAGATTAAACATAAGATCAGAACATGAAGTTAAAAAGACTTTACTTCTAAAATAAGCAGAATGGGGCATAAAGAGCATGTGGAATCTAGATGAGATCTGCCACATTCATAGGCATCTCTTCAACCGTGGTGTTGTAGAAAGTCTCAATGTCTCTGAGGGTCCGTTTGTCATCTTCAGTCACCATGTTGATGGCCACGCCCTTCCTGCCAAAACGACCACCTCGACCAATTCTGAGGAAGAAAAACAACTTCAGTCAGACCAACATGAATTATACACCACCTTTWTATCCAAGGTTGTAAAAGACGTTAAAATATTACAGATCTTTTAAACTTGTACTGGAGGAAAAAAAGAAATACCACTGCACATCATAATTTTGATCTATGTTTATTTTTATTGTTACCATCTTTAATTCTATTATTGCTACAATTGATAATGTCACATAGCAATATACTGTTTCTGTGGACTGATGTATGCATCTGCTGCTGCAATTACACCTGAATTTCCCCATATGGGACAATAAAGGCAGTTTCTATTTTATTTTAAACAGAAGAACCAGAATGAACCCAGAGGACCCCTTTACATTTTTAAAAATCGTCACAATCCTGATTCATTAAGCCTCAACTTGAAGAAATGCCTCCCTGAAGTAACTCTGAATAAAAGCTGCAGCTCAGTGACATTCCCACCCCTGAATGAGTGGCATTAACATATACCTGGAGTTACTAGAGACAAGAGAGGATTACCTGTGGATGTAGTTTTCTCTGTTAGTAGGCAGGTCATAGTTGATAACAAGGGACACCTGCTGGACATCAATGCCTCTGGCCTGAGGGAACACAGGGACTGAGTCAAGTAGCTAGTAACATACAATTATTGCTTTCCAAGGTCAGATATTTACATCATTATTAACAATTAAACAAATATATCTCAATGAGAGAGTGTAACCTGCCATTTAGTTGTGAGTCAAGGATTTAAACCAAGCTACAGTGGAGGGCAGGGTAGTAATGTACCAAGGAACATTCAATCCTTCACCAACACAGCAGAGGCAAGGAGAGGGAACCCTGGACCAACTACAACATTCATTGAGGACATGAATATACAAGAGGTGTAAAAACCTGTTTGGTTTGCATGTACCCATCAGTACAGCTTGGTAAGGGGCTGATGAGACCACCTCCTTTTAAAATCACATATGAAGCTCCCAGGAGGAGCTGAGTGCACAGCAGAGCCACACGTGTTACACCCCTGGTACACAGTGATGTATGAACGTTAGCTTACCAGCAGATCAGTGGTGATGAGGACTCTACTGGAACCGGATCGGAACTCCCTCATGATCAGATCCCGTTCTTTCTGGTCCATGTCACCATGCTGGAAAAGACCAGATGTGGGTTAAAAACTGGAACCAACAGAGCAGTGTGAATGTTTCTGCTCTGAGCTGCAGTTTTCTCATCAGTCTGTCTGAACCTAACGCACAGCAGGAACTAAAGAGCAGGACAGCTCCTCACCAGAGCAGAAACAGTGAAGTCTCTAGCGTGCATCTTCTCAGTCAGCCAGTCCACTTTCCTTCTCGTGTTGATGAAGATGACAGCTTGTGTGATAGTCAGGGTTTCATACAAATCACATAACGTGTCCAGTTTCCACTCCTGTGAACACAGCAAGGCAGACTCACAACACCATCCCCTAAACATCACATTAACCCAACACTAACTGATTTACCTCTTTCTCCACGTTTATGTAAAACTGGCGAATACCCTCAAGGGTCAGCTCCTCCTTCTTCACAAGGATCCGGATCGGGTCTCGCATGAATTTCTTTGTGACCTCCAAGACGTCAGCTGGCATTGTGGCCGACAGCAGGACCACCTTTAGACACAAAACCAAACCAAGATGAGTTTATAGGAMAACACGAGTGACCTTTTCAGGACAGAGATGAGATCATTTAAGGGTTTCTGGGGACACATAAGTAATTTTTTTTAAATTTGTATTCAAATTGTTTAATAAATGTTTCTTCATTTATGGTCTAGGCACAGAACGATGCAAAGACAAACCTTTCCTCCACATACAGTATACAAACTAAGCAGGTGAGGGAGCCAGCCCACTTCCTTCACACTTTCAGTCTCACCTGTATGCTGGTCGACAGCTTCTGGAAGATCTCATAGATCTGGTCCTTGAATCCTCGACTCAGCATTTCATCAGCCTCATCCAGCACAAACATTTTGATGTACTTAGGAGCTGGAGGGGAAAATAAGATTAATTAAATGATGTAAGAGACTCAAAGAAAATGAAACCAAATGTCAAACCAAGGTTTTCGCAAGCAGTGTGGAAACAAGTCCACTGAAACAGTTTCATCTACTGGGCTGGGACTTCTGCACACTCATTTGTTAAAACAGGGTAAGTGACAATGACAGCGTTACTACACTTTAAGCAAAGTTAAAATTAAGACTTTAAGACTTTAATGCCAAGTGAAATCAAATTTAAGACTAATTTCACAATAAAGACAAATGACAAAAATTAAAACAGTCAGAGTTACAGTCATCCTATTTACAATGTGTTAACATTTATATGATTGATTGAAGAACTTAAGGCCTTRTGTTTGGATTGATGAATTCAAAGCCTTTTAAGACTTTAAGGATCTGCAGGAAAGCTGCATGAGCACATCTTTAACACGACCTAAAAGAGGACACTGGGTGTTCGTGGTAGTGTTTTAAATACATTTTAAATATGGTTAGTTTCTGAATTAAACTGATTTTGGTGACTTTTGTCAAACTTTCTATAGAAAAGTAACATTTGAGTTAGAGAGTGCTGTGCTCAGAACCATGAATGTATGATCACACCTCTGGGTCCATGCTGTTGTGAAAACTCAGTCAGCAGAACGCTAACATGAGCAGCACCACAGCAGGGTTTCCCAGAGTCAGCTGACACGCATGGATATCATCATTATACAGCAGCCCCTGTTCTGCAGGGTCCAGCCCACCTCTGACACCTCAACACTTTAACCCAGTGTGTTCACAGAGCCTGCTGGACTGAACTCATTTCTCACGTACAGACAAAAATCAGGAAGCTGACTGAGACTTATGTAASGACAACACCCCTGATGACTCAGCACTTCTTATACACTTACAGATGTTTTTGCGAGTCAACATGTCAAAGACTCGGCCCGGGGTTCCCACCACAATGTGAGGGGCTTCTGCCTGAAGCTTCTGGACCTCACTGCGGATGCTGGTTCCTCCRATACAAGCGTAACAACTGGCACCCATGTAGTCACCCAGAGCCAGCACCACCTTCTGGATCTACACACACACAAAACACGATTTAACAAGACACACCCCAACTTGTGTCTTTATGCAGTTTATATTGACAGAATTTATTCTATTTCCATCACACACACACACACACACACACACACACACACACACACACACACACACACAC